TTGTGCAACATCTAGAGGTGCTTAGTTCAGTTGTAGTGTAATATACATTACCTCATCCCACATGTTTGTTCTGTAACGTTACATACATCACAACGTTCCTTACCTGTCTACCAGTAGACGGTTCAGTACACACTGGCTCACGTGACGTCACCAGCAAATGTTGTGCAACATCTAGAGGTGCTTAGTTCAGTTGTAGTGTAATATACATTACCTCATCCCACATGTTTGTTCTGTAACGTTACATACATCACAACGTTCCTTACCTGTCTACCAGTAGACGGTTCAGTACAGACTGGCTCTCGTGACGTCACCAGCACATGTTGTGCGACATCTAGCGGCGCTGTGTGCAACTGTAGAGTCTCCCTCAGCCATCTTCTCTGCCACATTCCCAGCCAGGCCATGCCACAGTCACAGACCCAGGGATTGTCACTTAACATGAGTCCTCCTGTATTGAGAGGCAAACCTTAAGTATGAGAAACTCCCTATTTACTTAAGTATATGTACACAGCCTTAGTTGTAGTGAAGAAAATAGTTAAGTAAACTGTATATATCTGAATCACACCCTTAGTTAAGCTAATAGCTAACTTAATAATAATTCTATACAAAAGAAGGTATAATGGGAAAGAAGTTTTTAAGAGATGTTATTTAATTTAATATGGACCAATTAATAGGTGACTGCCATATTAACACCAGCAGCAACATGCTATGGTTGTTATGGTTTTAAACCATAGCAAGATAATATTTTGATATCATTGATGAGTCAGTAGTGTCAAATAGATATAAATGGTAGTGCCACAGTCATTGGGTCCAAGGCAGCATTGTCAGAGCATGTTCGGTTCCTGGTACCTGCCACTGCTTTTTATTAGTACAGTTAACCCTTGTACTGTACGAGCTCACACCTTGGACAATTTAAAGGATTAAAGAAAAAAAAAATTAAGACTGTATTACATTTTTTTTATTAAAAATTAAACTTCATTTACTTTCCTTCAGAATTTTTTTAATTCACACATAGTAATACTTGTCTACCAAATGAGTACTTTGATTATTATTGAATTTGATAATACAGAATATAAAGATAGTTTTGTCAAAATTTTCAAACCTACCATTATATATAGTGATCTATAAAATTGTGTGAAGGCATCTTGATAATTTTAGGTAAATTAATAAGTTAATTATATTTTATATAATTACGGAAAGTAAATAAAAGAAACGTCTTATAACACTTAAAACATATATTTACGCTTATACTGTTACTCACAAGACGGTAAATATACAAAAACGATGGTAATCGATTTCGATTGGACACTCCAATCATCATCAGACCCAATAGGCGAATGACAAGAATCTTGAATGGCGTCCCTACTTATACCCTATTGGCTACCGGAAGCACCGGCCAATACATTTTTATAAGTACAACTGGAATCAAAATGTATTTGTTCATTAATCAACTTATTTCTATCTTTACATTTTTCCTTATAAATATACAATTCTTCCCAAGCATTCATTACATATCCTTTCATACAATTCTTTAAAATATCTAGACTATCCTCCATTTTTCCTAGTGAGTGCCCATTTTGTAACAGGTGTTGTGCGACATTTGATCTTTCCGGTTTGTTGTTCCTCCACGCAGATATGTGGTTTTTGAAGCGGTTTACGAAGTTCACAGTCTGTCCAATGTAGAAGCTATCACAATCGTTACAATTGATTTTATAGATGCCCGAAGTGTCAAATTTGTTACAATCTTCTATTTTTGGATGCAGTATTTTACTCATGGTGTTCTGAGTCCTGTAGGCTATTGAAACTCCGTATTTCTTGAATCTGTTAGCAGTCCTTTGTGTTGTAGTCCCCGTGTAGCTGAATGTGATATATCTGGTGCTTTCCTCTTTTATCTCTTCTAATGTTGTTCTGCTGTGTAGTGTATTCTGTCTATCGATTTTTCTCCTCGTCTTCCTTGCGATGTCCTCTATCGTCTTGGTTCGAAATCCATTCACTTGGGCGATCTTCTTAATGGTGTCCAGTTCTTTTTTCCTATTGGCTTGGCTAAGTGGGATCTTATAGGCTCGGTACAGCATAGATCTAAAGGCTGCGGTCTTGTGGATTGTCGGATGGATAGACTTGTTGTTGATTGTAGTGTCCGTTTGCGTAGGTTTCCTGTAGATGTCAAACTCTATCTTGCTGTCTTTTCTCTCTAATGTGAGGTCCAGGAAGTTGATCTTTTTGTTTTCTTCAAACTCGTTGGTAAAGGTGAGGTTTGGGTGGTGGCTGTTTAGTGTCTGCATCATCGTTTCATGCTCCTGCTCCTGGGCTTGTCTGAAGATAACAAGAATGTCGTCTACATATCTAACATACAGTTTTACATCATGATTCTTTCTTAAATTCATTAACATTTCTTTTTCCTGGTGTTGTAAAAATATTTCTGACAAAATTGCCGAAAGTGGACTTCCCATAGCTAAACCATCTGTTTGTTCGTAAAATCTATTGTTAAATCTAAAATAATTTTGCTTCAAAACAGTCACAAGCAATTTTACAATCTGATTGACATATTCATCGTCTAAACTATTCTGCAAAAGCCTACATTTAACAAGATTTACAGTTTCTGATACAGGTATGTTTGTGTACAGATTTGCGATATCAAATGAGACTAGCCTACTATTCGAATCTATATCTATGTTCTTTACACGTTCAACAAATTCATAACTATTCTTTACATTGTATACATATTCTAATTCTAAATCATTGCTGAGCTTACTTGCTAACAATTTTGAAACATTGTAGGTAGGAGCACATTTAAAGTTAACTAATGGTCTGATGGGTACATTCTTCTTGTGTATTTTTGGGATCCCTTTCATCACGGGCGCTTTAGAATTTAGGATGTTCCATCGTTTTTGTATATTTACCGTCTTGTGAGTAACAGTATAAGCGTAAATATATGTTTTAAGTGTTATAAGACGTTTCTTTTATTTACTTTCCGTAAATTTAATAACACGTACAATGCTGATCAAGAAGTTATTTATATAATTATAAACAAAATTCAGACAAATTGTTCCAGTAATAAATCGAATAAATCCAGTAATAAATCGTTGTTTTTAATTAATTCATTTACAACAATATTTTAATTAAATGAACAAATATCTTTCGTGTTTATGTTATTAAACCCCTCGAGTGACCAACTCATTATACTCCACTTTTATTTATGAGACAAGAGGTAAGTAGACAGTGGAGGATGTATTTAGCTTTAAGCTGTTCCAACTCGGCAGTTTACCACTAATAATATTTTAATGAGGACGAATTTCCGTTGTTTTAATTCTAACCTTAATTTGAGATAAATTCACTCAGTGGGAGTAAACGAACTGTTTGTGAAAAAAATTACTAACTAGCCTAGTGATAAAGTGGTTATTATTTTCTGTTATCGCACGTCAAAACTATTCAAAGTTCATTTTCCTCTGGTTTGCCAATTCTATATTTGACATTCTATTAGGGCCTATTGACACAAACACTTAGAATGAAACATACTACCTATTAACAATTCGTTGGTAGGGTAACGTAAAACTGATGGGCGTAAATTACACAGCAATGGTTTGTAAGAAGGTTGGTGGCCAGAATCTTAAATTTGCCCGTCCATATAGGTCTCGGCTGCGTGGAACCATTGACTATATGTATATGGTGGAACGTATCCATCAAAGCAAGGGCGAAGCTTGCACATCACGAGGGTGAACTATATGGAATACTTTATACTGTATTTTGAAATGGCGACCATAGGAATGTATGCATTTTAGGCCAAGTATGAATGGGGATGAGTGTAGGAAGAGTGGCGTGATCTTGTAGTCTAGTTTTTAAGGCCGACATATTCTTTGGACACAGCTGTTAATTAATAGCCCATACAGCCAATGGCAACTAAGGGACATTCAGTTTATAGTAGAATCCAAACAACATTTTTGCCTTTTAATTAACGAATTGGTCAAATTATCAAGATAGCACTGCGGATAGTCGTAGTACTGACTAGTGCGGACGTTAATCTACACCAGTGAGTATGGCATCTACAGTGCATGCCTATAAATATCCACAATTCGTGACCTCCTAGTAGCTGAATTACAGGACTACGCCACCCGTCCCATCAGAATTTAGTTGAACCTTTCCCCAAACCCACGACATCGCTCTGAAGTTCGTAACAACGAGTGCACTTGCTATGTATTTCTGAATGCAGACATTTGTTTTTTTTTTAACCTACCGCTAGCCACTCTAGTTCCCAGCAGCTGCCAATCTGTAGCGTTGGTGTAGATCACGGCAGGACTTAGGGATGAGAGGCGGTTCCCCCTTAGATCGACAGACAGCTGCGACAAGGAGGCCAAGGGGGCGAACAGACCGACTGGAAGGTCATCCAACAGGGTTCCGACAACACCGAGGTGAAGGGAATGTCGGTTCATGGCTAGAGTCTGGAACGCATCTCTGCGCACCCTGGTCAACCTAGAACAGTTGGTGCAGTTAACTTTATCAGAGTTTTTTATTTTGTCATTCACGTCCTAAGACGGTAAGCTATAGCCTCGATCCAGTTACACATTAGGTAGGCCTTATGGTTTGTGGCATTACCACTTGGATCAAATCCATTGGAGAGTTGCTGTATTTGAGCCGGAACTTTGTTACCACAAGCTACTTTGATAGCCCTAATGCATATCATGTAGTTTTAAGTAGTTGTGGTAGAAGTTGTAGTAATAGGTTTTAACTTATTTTATACTGTACGTCCCACTCATCAACAACTCTGTATATAACAATTACCTGTTCTTCCAGGAATAATTTGCATACACATTCTTGCCCAACTTCACATAATGGGTGCTAGGTTTCAACCAAAGAACGGGTTCGCACATATTTATGCCTAAGCCAAGAGGGCTGTGGCAATATCACTTAGATACAATTCATCTGTGATTGGCGGGATTTGAGCTCGATGACCTTAACCTCTACATTAAATACATACTAGAGACGGAAAATATTCAAACCTGCCAGATATCTGTAAGTAGTTGAGCCTCGGCAGACTGATGTTGTGAAGTTGAGTGGACAGTTCTGTCTCCAGAATGTCCAATGTCAAGGACTGGATGTTCAGCGTCTCTGTGAGTGGCCATGGTCAGCTTGAGACATGGAGGGTCATCAAGGAGGGTAGCACCGACAGACTTCCGGAGTCCACCCTCTCTAGGTCCGGTAGATCCGTCAGTACTAGAGACTCCAGGTGGCGCAGCCCGGACAAACTGGTGCTGTTGATTACCTGGAAAGAGAAATTACCTTAGAGTTCATTCATCGTGTAGGTGTTTTATAAGGTATTTGCACTTTATTGATGAATACAATATTTATTTTTGTATACAGTTTTATAATATAGAATACCTGTATGTTGCAGTGTTTTATCTGTTGCAAGGCAGGGAACTAACCCGGTGCGATTAATAAATTTCAGAGTTTATGCTGATGGTACTCCTAAACTCTGTTCACACCAACTGGTCAATCAAGTGTAATGAGAGAGGGTCGGCATAGATGAACAAAGCGAGATCTGTGGTAACTATTGAGGTCTTAATAAGGTATAAGGTTATATTTTATTAATTTTTGTACTATTTTTCATACACGTTTTCTAAATCAGCTTTTTTGACTCGTATTTATCACAATTGTTTAAATTTGTTGTATAGAAATAAAATCACTTAAATTTGAAACTTAGGGGGTTGTTACAGTCTGGATTCACATACCTTAATGGGGTTGGTGGACAGGTCCAGTTCTTTGAGCAGCGGCAGCCTGTACCACACTTGTTGAGGAATCTCACTTAAATGATTGGCCTTCAGCAGTAAAGTCCTCAGCCTGGGCAGTCCGTCACCACTGGTGGGAGGGAACTCTTGGATGAGGTTGTCCGTGAGGTTCAGATGGACCAGAAGAGGAAGTTTCAACGGAGGAACACTCGTCAGCGACACCGAAGACAAGTCCAACCTCCTCAACGCAGGAGTAAAGTTAAACAAGTCCCTATACTTAACTCTGAGGGGATTCGAACATATTCTAAGATTGAGCAAATTGTTAAGTCCACTAAACACATTCGTTGGCAAAATCGTTAACCGGTTATTACAAAGATTGAGCGTCGTCAAGTAAGGAATCTTCCGAAACACGTTGTTTTCCAGATACTCCAAATAGTTGAAAGACAAGTCTAATTCTCTCATTGTGGATTTCACATTTTCTAAGTCAGGTACGTGTAAGATCTCGTTGTGGGATAAATCTAGCTTTTCTAACACGGTGTTCTCAAACATTTTCGCCGTCACTGATTTCAAATGGTTGTGAGCGAGACGGAGTACTCTAAGGCGAGTTAGGTTGGAGAATAAACCTGATTGTAGGAATTTGATTTTGTTAAACGATAAATTTAAGATCTGTAGTTCGTGTAGACCAAAAAAGGTTCCTCGACGTAATTCGTCGATATTGTTGTGATTCAACGTCAACACCTGAAGGGATAAGTTATTGAAGACGTTAGGGCTCAAACCTCCTATTTTATTATTGCCTAAATACAGTGTTCTTAAATACCCACTTAAAAGTTGAAGCAGTTCACTTGGGATGTCTTGAATCGCGTTGTGAGACAAGTCTAACGACTTCAACTTCATAAAAGGTTTCTTATAGGTGCAATAAACGTCTGTGATCCTATTATGAGATATGTTCAAAGTCATCGGATGGAATATTGACGTATTGATAAAAGCATCGAATGTAAAGTATCGCAAATCGTTTTGTTGCAAATCCAGTCTTAAAAGCTTTGGAGCGTTGAAAAACGCTTGTGGTGAAATCTTAACAAGATTATTGTTAGTGAGTAACACGGTTAGTAAATTCGGCAACTCTTTGAAAGCTTTCTGGTCAATATACCTTATGTAGTTCCCTGTCAGTACAACTGTTTGCAAATCCGACAGCGAAGAAAACGTTTCGGTCCCAATTTTAGTTAGAAGGTTGTACGCAATTCTGAGATCTCTAAGATGTGTGTGTATAAGAGAGTTGAACATACCTTCTGGGAGGTAAGAAATCCGGTTGAAGTCTAAATTGAGATATTTAAGGTTTCCAAATGTGTACAATGATGTCCTATGCATTTCTCTAATGTTGTTGTTGTCAACTGAGAGCCACAGAAGGGAACTCAAAGGTCTTAAAGCATCCTCAGGGAATTCTTCCCCAATGAGACCAAAGCTTATTTCCAAACTCTCTAATGTTCTAGCAACGTCGATGAACGCATGAGGTTCCATATCTTGGATTTGATTGAAAGACAGACTGAGTTCTCGCAGACTTTGTGTGTGCCGGAAAAGATAGTTGCTTAGGTACGATATTCGATTGTTCATAAGTAATAGTGTATCTAAATGAGCACCCCAGCCATCGAAGTCGTTGGAGTTTATCTCAGATATTTGATTATACCCTAAATTAAGATGGGCCAATTGTCTTAAATTTTTAAAAGCTTCATTAGGAATATGATAAAGTCTATTCCCTGATAACGAAAGTGCTTTCAGGTGTGCAGCAAAAGTCCTAAAGTCAGCGTCTTGTAGTCTTGAAATTTTATTGTTTGCTAAATATAAAAACTTTAACACTCTCAACCGAGTAAATGCATTTGCGATTGATTCGATCATGTTTCCCTCCAAGTCAACGTACTCCAAACTGTCTTCTAGTCCTGCAAACACGTTCCCACTTATATTCGTGAGTCTGTTATGTCCTAAAACAACTCTTCCTAGGTTCAAGCTTCTGAAAGTGTAATCTCGTAGTAGTTTTATATTGTTAAACTCCAAATTAAGGTCTCTTATGGTGATAGAGTTGTTGAACCACGTCGACGGCAGATCGGTCAACCTGTTTTCGCCAAGGTCCAGTTTGTCCAACATCTTCTTCTTTCTGAAGGAGTAAGGAGGTATTCTACTGATGGCGTTCCCACGTAGAAACAGTCTTGCTAGGTTGGTCATCTGATCCACTGTCCGCACTGGAATGTCTGCAAGGAGGTTATGCTGAACACTCAACGTGTGAAGAGAGGTTGGTAGACTTCCTCGCTGGACCGACCTCAGCTTGTTGTGGTCCAAGGTTATCCACTCCAGATGAGTTAGATTACGTAGAGAGAAGTCCAGTTCGTGTAGATCGTTCTCCCCCAAGAAAAGGTTCGTCAGTGTTGACGATAGAAGACACCACTGTCGAGGCAGACCGGTAATGGAGTTTCTGGAACAGCATTTTATTTTCGTCATTAGTAAATCTTTTCATATGATTTAGCCAGTAGTTAGCACAGATTAATCTCAGATCTCGTTATTAACATCGTCTGTGATTAGTTGAGTTACCTTTTTTGACACCTTTATGCATCGGTCCACCATTTTTTTAATTTTATTTAATTTTCAAGATTATCATAGATGATTCAAGAGACTTCAAGAAATCTTCATAACTCTCATAAGAATTGTTAAGAAATGGTTTGATTAATGTCAACAATTGTTTAACAATAGAGACCAAAGACTTATGGAAATAAATACAAGAAGAATATACAATTACACTTTTTAAACATGATCAATAGTTCACATTTTCCTCTTGGCTTCTATAAGTGCATGCACTTATTAACTATACGAGAAATGTGCTCCTGATAACCCCTCGGTTTTACTGTGAGTTTCTGTTTCTACTGTTTTCGAGGGTTTTCTTATCTCTGTACGTATGAAAATTGACTCAACTGGGTGGGATAAAAGTTTATTGCCGTTTCTGTAATAGGATTGTCTTTACTGCTGTAAGAAAGACTCAATATAAAAAAAAATCTTCCTAGATGAGCCGAGTACACAATTTTACTATACAGTAGATACCCCTAATAATTCATTGAATGGCTAATATTGCTCTAGGAAAAATATTTTAGATGAATATCATTAGGTCGAATAAATTCTGGGTTGAATAAATTATTATAGATAGGGTGGTATTTAGAGGGTTTGACTGTACTCCTCAGAAATGTCGACTGTGCATTTTCTTGGTGAAAAAATCCATCGTACGCTAACTAAAAACATATATAACAGTGATAGTTATGAGTTCAAACATACCCAAACAGATTGATCCAATAGAGACCAGTAAGTGAGCACAACGCCCCCAAAGGTACCTCCTGCAGCTGATTATGGCTAAGGTCCAACGTCCTTAGAGTGGACGACATACTCCTGTTAACAGACGAAACAATTAATTAACAATCATATGTACTATGGTGGAAGGCAGTTGATCGGGTCTACCAAACAAATTTTGGGCTTATGGCATTACAAAAAATCAAACGGACATAAAAATGAGGTTGGTGGGGTCTCAACCTGGGCTCACATTGTAACCTATAGAATAGCACATCTCTGAAATTGTAAAACTTTTATGCTGCAAGACACCTTGTTGGTAAAAGTTACTGAACAAATAATTAGTAAATGATCATCGCTCTATTATAGTAGATTAAACAAAATGAATAATGAGCAGTGAGTTACGAACTACGAACTAAAATAGTATAAGCTGAACTTTATAAGTAGATAAAACTATTTGACCTATCAACATAATAAGATATATACTGTATAGTTAAAGCGAGTAGCCAAATAGTAAATAATCTTCTTCCTATCATACGTACTCATTCATGACAAATAATTAGGCCTACATAATCACTTCTAGGTAAATATATTTTACGTTGTTATATTTAATTCTTCTAAGTAGGGATAATAGTTTTGATAAAGCGTTAAATGTTAGAAATAAGAATGAACTATTGTTCAGTTAGATCAAAATTCCGTTTGATATACGCAAAATTTTCTCCATTTTAAAATCAAACCTTTTTAGCTTCCTAATTGCTGTATTTATACTTAAAATAGTTTATTACAATACCTGCATATACAATTGCAATTCTTGTTTGGATTTAACTTCAGCCGGGTCACTTCACTTATCTCAATGTTTATTTATTCATTACGTGTTTCTTTAAGTATGGCTGTTTTATGTTTCCTTATCTCGTGTGTTTGTTGATTATTAAACTCTCTTGACGACAACAAAATAATTTTAAAACATCACTATTTGTGTTGATGATGCAGATCATGAACCGAAACTAGTTGCCCCTAAAGAAACCAAAGATTGCTATGTGCTGGTATTGTAAAAAGTGTAAATAGCACACTGCAACATTGTTAAGTTGTAATGTTGAATCTATATACAGCCTAAAGTATAAAAAGGTGTTGTATACTAACGTCAGGGAGTTGTTGGTGAGGTAGATGATTTTGTTGGTGACCAGCCTCAGCGCCTCCACACTGGCACCGAGGTCGTCTAACACTTCTAAACCAGAGTCTACGATGTCTACATGGGACACCTCAGAGGGTGGGAGATCTAAACATGAAATTTATTTGTCAATTGTTGCTACATACCTATATACAGGGTGAATCAGACCACCAGTGCACATACTTTAACGGGACGCTTGTGTAACTCACTGACTCACCGATCAGGTATACAAATGTTTACCCATTTCTTGAATAGCTAGAGATCTGAAATTCTTTTGGAGGTCCGTCTCGGTACCAAACCACCCAGAAAATCCCAAAATGTAACATTTTCAAATTATAACCCAGCCCCCTCCCAAAATGCCCTTAAATCCCCTTTTTAAACGCATTTTTTTTAAGTATAGCTCAAAAATGGTAAGATATTTTAACGAATTTTCATAATCAGGAATAACATTTTCTACAAGACACTATTATTTTTTCGAAAATCTAACTCCATCACCTTAAAAATAACACCCTACTTCTAAAATCTTTAAAATGTCTTGGATTTTCAACGTGTTTTTTAATTTTTTCTAATAATTTTTTGGACATATATATTTATAATTTAAATGATCCCAACATTGAATGAAAAGTGCCTAAGTGACATAAAAAATGTAACCCACAAAAAAATTAAAGGATTTTTTATAAAAAAGGTAGTTTCTTTTAACCCCTGTTGGGCCAAACCGTTGTGCACGTGTGGTCATATCACCCTGTACAACATTATAATTATGTATTACATTAAAATGATGTGCACTTCTGTCTTATAATGTCGCAAAAACATCTACAAGGTTGCTGAAATTTCACACAAAGACTACTTATGAGCAGAAGATGTCGTTTTAGTTCGGTAGCTGATGGATATAGTAAAGTAATGACAGAGAATATGATAATAAGAAGCTTTATAATTGCTGAATGAAAAAAAAAAAACTCGTATGCCAAACTAAATCCCATTATTTTTCTTCTAAAGACACCATAGATTATGAAAGAACGCCATGTTCTTGAGTCAGAGGTGACAATCAAAAAAGGTCAATTTTTGCAACCACTATAACCAAACAACAAACATAAAAAGAACAAATGAGAAAATTAACATGTAGGACTGTGATCGTGGTAATAATAAAGGATGTAATTAAATTATTTTTATTTTTATGTTATCTATACTGAAACCAGACTATACAAATATCAATAAACATATAACTCAAAAATTTGTAACATATTTCATAAAATGTGATCATCAGAAAGTGGTTATATATATTTCTAAATTTTAACACGTAAGCTTTTACATTTCCATACTTTTAAAAATTTCAAATCTCTCGTTATGTCTACTCAAATGCAATGAAGAAAAACCCAAAATTTTTTACTTTTGCCATAAAAATATTACAAAACTATTTTCAAAGGCATAAAAAATATAAATATGGAAAATTGAAAAATGTATCTTAAATTGATATATTTTGGGAAAAAATCAATAAAAGCATTGACTTTGTGAGCGATATTGCACCAAGAGCCCCAATTTTAATGACAGCTTAAAATATCCGCTCCACTCATCTTTCTAATAGCTCGAGAACATTACAGAGTCAAGGTATTAACCCTCTCCCCCAGGGATGCTCTATATAATGAATTTGCATTATGTATAATCACCCTGATCCTGCACGAGCAATGTATGTACATATACAACACTTAACTGGCTGTATACATACATATACCTCTGCAGTTGCATTGTATAATTAGTTCTAAAGGGACATGTTATTTTAGTTTTGTACCCTTGTAAAGTAATATATGGGACCAATTAAATACGCAAGCCCAACCTCTTTTTGGAGAATGAGTTTTAAAAATTAATGAAACTACTTTGTAATATAACTTTGTTAACGTTCATGTAACATTTAATGACTAAATAACATTAATAGTATAATTTTTAATGAATTTAACTTTGCTAAAACGTTAATAGGGATGGGAGTACGTTATTGGTTTGTTATAATTTAAAGATGGTTGTTTATCAAAATGTAAAATTAAATGAGAATCAATTGATTGGAAATGTCATCTTGTGAGGATTTTTGTTCAATTATGGATCCGTCTGTTTTATTTGTTTTTGTTTGTATTTTTCTGTACCACCAATCTTCACACCATTCATTTTGAAGTAGTATTGAAGCTACTTAAACTTGTACATTGGGTATCCATCTAAACTTTAAAGTTGAAGTTACTAACATCTTCACAACCAGAGTAATTATATTACTGTACATCAAAATGTTCACTTTGCGATACATGTAGGCTATTTATTGAAAATTATTGTTCACATTTAAGATTTATATAGTATACAAAACATCCCCACATTAAAACACTTTGGAAATGGAAGATAAGATATTATTTTTTTACAATTTGTTAAGACATCTTGTTCAAAATACTTAGGTCCGTCTGTAGTTTGTGTTTTTTTTTAACATTTTTTTTACGTCACATATTTTTTGATATTTTTACAATGACACGGTCTATACCCTGGTTTTGACACTATCTAACGTTAAATCAGATCAAAGTATAATTTCTTCATACATTCACTAATGACTAGTATTATTTAATCAAACTTGCGAAATAAGGGGTAGGTTACTGTCTTGAACTTCGGGGCTTGAGAAAGGTGTTATATCAAAGAAGTATTTAACGGAGCTTAATGCTTTCCCTTAAAAACGTTTGTGTTACTCTTCATACAATATAATACAAACACAAAAAGCAATTTAACTTTGTAGAAACCAAACGAACCTGGGGATTTGGAGAACGGCACCCCCATACAGGACACGTCCCTGATGGTATTGGGTTCTGAATATCTACAGGAACACATTGGGTTGAAACTGCAGGGCGATGGGTCCTGGCTGCCTATGGAGCTTAACATGAAAAATACCAGCAGCACCACTAGCAGCATAATCTGCGACAAAAAAAAACTATTAAACATTTGGACCAAATAATACGTTGAAAGTAAATGATTAGTTTTATGCCGAGAAAGTTTTGAAATTAAGTTTTCAGATGAGATTCCAGTACCTATTAAATAAACTATTATTGACATATACAAATTAAAGGAATTATTTATGTCATATTTACCTCAAATTACCATCGGTAGATTCCATATTATTTTAAATTGGAATAATGCATATTGTAACTTTTCAAATTTCCTAAGCAGATATAATGTTGAGTCTCCTTGGATTTATACCTTCAAACTATATCTTTTTAAACAGAGTCATAATACAAATAACAATGAAACGATAGTGGTTTTATTCCATTCGGACTACTTTATACTCAAATGTTTTAAAGAACAAATGTTTACCTAATAAGATAACGTCCCCCTCTAAAGAAATCAAGCTGTTGACAGCAACGCATTTCGTCTTCTCAAGTGAACATCAACGGTTTCTACTGCCATCGTATTTTATTTATAATTTGTACTGATTTTAAAAATGTCATAAACTATTAAGATAAAAAAAACGCACTTTAGAAGTTTCCCTGTAGCAGCGAACCTAACTACTCAATAAAAGTAATTTAATCCAAACAGGGAGTAAATCTAACAAGGATATATTTTGATAAAATTCCAACCAGACAAATTTAATTTCACTAAGTCTGTAGGTTTGCTGCGGTGAGGGTATTTTATTTATTACAAACATGCATCTTCACATTTTTTAAATTAACAAAAAACATAAACATTATAAATATAAATTCATTCTAGAATAATCAATAGGTTTGCAGCTTATTGTTATTAAAAAGTAGTGTAAAAGTAATCAACAGTAAAAAAAGAAAACATTATTTTGAAAAAGATATGATTGTACGTGTAAAAATATTCATTCCATAGATTTTATGTATTTCAATTGTTTTCCAAATTATTATTATTCCCGTCATTAATGTATTTAATTTTTTAATTGTGTTTTGTAAACATGGTAATAAGTGATAATTTGACGTTTATTTAATCTCTCAACAAAGTCAATAAAGTCGGAATTCAGATTAAAGGAATAATGAATAATGGCGATTTAATCAGGATTATATTGGGATTCATTTATCAAACTCCATCCAAACTGATAAAACACAGTCATAGATCAGTAATTAGGTTTAATATTCGTTCATTAATTTTTCCGTTACAGTAACCAGGATAAATCTGATGCTGGAATGCTAAATATTACTAAATTATTTGTTAAAGTAATCTTTAAACATGTTCACATAAATTAATACTAGTAACAGAATGGTCAGATTTTAAAGTTTTTTTTACAATATTAATAGTCAGTTTCAAACGATAGAAGTTGGATTTTATCGAAAGATTTTTTTAAGTATTTAAAGTAACTATTTTCGTTTAACGCTAGTAGTATTTATTTACCGATTTCCACGTCTTTATTTTATTGCTGGCCCTTAAAACACGTTGTGTTATTGATCTTTTAACATAAATTATAAATAGGCGTAAACGTCTTTCATAGGAAAGGACAAAATTGTATTCAAATTATCTTCATCAAAAGAAGGAAGACAGTTAAACAAAATACGACTACGTTTGCACATGAAATATTAACCAAACTCTATGAATTGTATTCATCATCATACAATTATTTGTGTAGCTCCAAAAAAAATTATAACACCCAAACAAAAGTTATTTAATGGCAAAAACATTTCAACTATAGACATTTTTAATGGTAGAAAACTGTAGAGTTTTGTGGCATAGATTATTATGATTAAATCTATATAATTTAATTTCTTATTTTTATTTTTATTTTTTTGCCAAAACAACATGAAATGTCGAATATAATCGTTTAAACAAAGCCAGCAGTGCAAAAGTGGTAGCAGACCTCATAGTCTCCCGGTGCAAAGTTTTAAATTATTAGCAAAGTTGAAAGTGAAATGTGAGATAAGCAGTTTGTTCTTTGTGTAGAGTCGTTTTGAACATTTATACCCACCTTGGGTATGTAGCTCATTCTGTTACAATATTCATACTGATACAATTGAGTATTATAAACATAATTTTGATCTAGAATTTGAAGATATTTATTTACTTCCTACATTGTTTACTTTCAAGATTCATGGAACTAAAACGATCTTATATATGCATTTGCTATATTTAATAGTTGTAATATTAACAATTCGATGTTATAGGCAACATTATCTACAACAAGCTAAATCTATTTACATAAGTAATGAATAAAATCATAAACGAAAACGTTCCTAGTTTTCAAATATGTGTGGCTCTCTTGTTAGACATTTCCTATCTACTAGAGGATTTGAACAAACAACTTTATGTTTTGAAACTGGCTTCAAAGTATAAGATTTGTCTTCTTATATAACGTAAAAAATATAAGACTACCATTTTTACAACACTTAGTTTAGTAGAAATAAACCCTTAAAACCCACAACCCCATGTGTAAAATAACAGGAGTAACTCTGGTTGGAATTTTTCCACGTACAATTTCTTGACTGCTTTTTATTCTTGGCCTATTTGGCTTCCACCACATACAATAGATATACTACTGTACTATGACCAAAGTCAATAGACAATAATTATTACTCTGTTGTCTGTGTTTCTACCGATAAGATACTTAACTTTCAATATACCTTTCAATATGGACCTTTCAACATACATACATGGTATGGTGTTAAGGGGGAAGGTTATAACTGTACTAAACGAAATAATTCGCTCAATCACATTGTCATGTACAGTAAATAAACTAATAATAATATCAGAGATTTAAATATTATAAAATATCATCACTTCTCACCTGCACTATAATGTGACAACGCCATATCTTTATATTTATGCAGTATTTATAATTTTATCTGTACCTAATCAAATGTAAAGAGAGTGTGAAAATGATAATGTTTACACATAATCTCATCCGAGTGGTAAATGTCGATATGAGATTACAGGAATAACATTTAAATATTGGTGTTATCTGTTTGGATTCATATGAGAAATCGCTTGATTCTGAATTCTAGTTGTGGAGAGTGGTCGACTATAAAGTTGATTAGACATAATTTTTGTAGTTTAAAATTTAAATTTAAAGATTTATAAAAAATTATGTAAATTCCTGGTACAGAGTAAGTTTAGGTAGGTCCGAAATCAATTACCATGGTAATTTAAGCGAAAAAGGTCAATGTTTAGTGATTTAATTTACTGTATGTCCACATAATTGTTAAATTATTAAGTTAACTTGGTCAAAATAAAGTTTGAAATTGAATAATTATACTCGTATGGTCAATTTATAAACTGGAATATGTGCAAGTATTCCTTCTACAGCAAACCTGCAGTATTTAAACTAAAATACTATTTCAAATTAGGTTTTTTTTTTATCTATATAAAATCAGGTTTCGTGAGTACTTAGGTTTGCTGCTACAGGGAAGAGAAAGGTGTTTAGTGTGCAATGATAAACTAAACGTTCAAGCAAACGCATTATTTGATTCAATTATAATTAAGACAAGGAACAGCTGATCGACATGTTACGTGACCTTGAAGTAGACACAACAATACAGTAGTCGCCGGCCCGACCAGACGCGCACACCACGACACTGATCCATAATATTTGTATTGTTGTTTGTGTGTAAACATATACAGTGTAAACATGTGTCCAGTGATCAGTGTTTATTCATGAAGAATCTTTTAAGAGGAAATACCTGAAGATGTGGCAGCCGTCCAAACATGTGTATAACCTAACTCAAAAAGAAATCACAAGGTAAATCAAATGAATTGCTTAATTTTAAAACTGTATAAAAAGGTTGAAGACCTTCCAACGAGGGTATAATATATTTTAATTTTTGGTGAAACACATGGCATCACCCGTGGCAAAGTTTTAAGTTATTAGCAAAGTTGGAGGTGAAATTTGAGATAAGCTGCGTTTGCACTTTGTTAGTATTTGTTCGTGCATTTAAATTTAACTTGTACGCTTCTGCGCTCGTCTCTATTAGGTTTTATTTAAATTAATGTTTGACTTTGGCATTTGACCTAGATTAGTAAATAAAGCTAGCATCAATATTCTAAATCGGGTCACGATCATAAACATTGTTATAAACCATTTATGCAGACTGTTTAGCAAACAACGGTAATAGTTTCAGTAATTTTGTTTCTTAAAACTATTAAAACATTAAAACCATGTTTTGCTACAGAATGACCTCTTACTACAAGAAGACTATGTTACTACGAATACTTACTCTATTTAGCTGAATTTATGAATTAATGAATACTTCGGCTATTCATTACTCTATCAAGCTGAATTTGTAAGGCTTCAATTGCCTTATTCAAAATATTACTAGCAAAGCTCACAACTAACACGACACGGATTCTAGTGAAAAGTAAAACTTACTCAAACGTAAATATATAAATATTGAACTAAAATGATGACTATGATTAAAATACCTGAATTTACCACTTAAACTTTCTGTTTAAACAAATATGTATAACGCATTTTATACTTTGTGTTTTGTGTAATTACACTAAAAATAATACGGCTGCACTTTAGTGTCTGTCCTACACTTATTCGAATGAAAAATATCGTTATATATAGATTATTCGACACATCGATTATTTCATTCGGTTAGTTTAGGTTAACCTAACTAACCAAACTTGATATATCGAATGAAATAATCGATTATATCGATCGATATATTCATTCGAATGAGTGTATGACAGATTAGGTCCCGATAAAATTTTATTATTTTAATCTTTTGTCAAAACCCACCGCTCTGCCAGGCTTATCTGTTCATACGTAACGAAATTCATACCCTAAATCTGATGTGTCTGCAAACTATGACGTTTTATACATGAATGGATATAACTATTGACTTATGTGAACATTTCGGCCAGTTGTTAATAATTAAGTCCTGATCGTAGCTTTACGATTCTACCATTATTTAAATATATTACTGGTCAACACTGGTATTGAGATAAAGTCAGGACTCAATCGTTTGGAGACA